CTCTATACATACCCTTTGTCCCCTAGTTCTTTCCTCTATTTCCCTTTACTTTCCTCTTGTCCCACTATCATGCTCAGCCTTCATTTGGGTTCCAGGGATTTCTCTCGGTTACATTGCCCTTGCTGAATCCCTAGCAGGCCTCTCTCACCCTCCTTGCCACTTGTTGCTCCCCGGGAGTTGGTTTTCTTACTTGAGGTTTGCTCTCTGGCTAGAGAAAGCAAATTTCTGCCCCTGTAACATGCACTTCTGAAAAGCCTCCACCGAGTGGCAGCCTCTACCATCCAGAAAAGCACCAGGACCAGACGGTGCCAGCATCCCCTCCCACTACGTTCTGCACAGCAGAGGGGACCAACCTTTGCCATCACGACTGCAGCGTTGGCCAACTGATATCTCTGTACCTGCAGAGTCACCACAGACACGTGTCAGGGGTCATCCTCTGCACAGGCTACCGGAAGATTTAGGGGATAGTGGGGGCCCAGCCACTATACCATTTGAACTCCCAGGCTCTGTCTTAGCCCAGGCGACAAGGGTTGGCATCTTTTCCCTGGGCAACCCAGACCTCTGGACACCCCCTTAGCAGGAAAGCACCAGGCTCTGATGCTTTTACTGTGGTGCCATCTCAAACAACCTCAGTCAATCACAGGGTAAAATATTAGCAAACTAGTGGAAGTGGTAACTTTGTACTTTTAAACAAATTGATAAAATGTCTAGAATGGCTGAGGGAGAGGAAAATAATACATGAAGCTATATAGTTTCATATTATATATTAATATGCATACATACACACATGCTATATATACTGGCGACATATAGACATAACATCTTCTATTACTTGATACACATATACACACACAGAAGTGGGCTTCAAAATTTTATGGGAAAATGGAATTAAAAGACAATGACATTTTCCTGCATTTTGAAGCGCCCTTGAGTATGTTTATATACCATACATAAATATAATCGTATAGATGATATGCATTGGTTCATGATGCCTTGTGGGAAATGAGACGTTATATGATGTGGACACTGTGTGAACACCATATTCAAGCCTTGCAGGAGCCCACTTCTGTTTGCCCTCCTTGCTGCTGCTGCAGAAGCTGATTGTGGAGGCCAGAGGAATGGACGGAGACAGCAGTGGCAGTTGAGAGGAGATGGTAGGCACCAGTGAAACAGCTCCAGCCCTGCAGACCCTCAATCAACTGCCCCCAAGACAAAGCTTAAAAGCCCACATGCAGAGCCATGTCCTCCCACGTGTGGCCCAGTGTTACAGGAATCTGGATTTGGGATCTTTAAAGGCATTCATTCACTCACTGCCAGGGAGTCAATTCTGACTGGTAGGGCCCCTATAGGACAGGGGAGAACGGCCCCTGTGAGTTGCTGAGATTCTAACTGCTTACAAGAGTAGAAAGCATTGTCCTTCTCTAGAAGCAGCTAGTGGTTTCAAACGGCGGACTCTGAGGTTAGCAGCCCAGTGCATAACCACTGTGCCACTAGGAGGATATAATAAAAAGGCAGCTTTCCCTTAAAAAATAAAACAATAGCTTATAGGGCCACAGATGTATATGCAGTCAGATGCTAAGCACTGCATACTTATATGTATCTTTTACCAAAGCCTGCATTGTTTAAAATGAGAAAGAAATATAAATTTTTCTTTTTAAGATAAACAACAGGACCTTGAGGCAATTCTGGAAAAAGGATGAATATGAGCCTGAAATGTCCTAATGTCCTTCACACATGTTCTCAGTAAACATGTTTAAGGCTGTTTTAGAATTGTGGTTTAGATATTTTGTCAAAATCATCCAACACAGGGCTGTCTGTTACCACAACTTGGTCAGGGCTCACAGCAGCCAGTCAGGAGCTGAGCTGATGATGGCAGCCAAGCCCTAAACCTCTTGGGCAGGACTCTTGCACCTCTTACAGGGCTCTTGCACCTCTTACAGGTATGGCAGAGATTTCCAGCTATCTCATTCTCATCCCTCCTCCCACCTATCAATGGAACGCAGCTGGATTCATTAGCCAGCCTCCTTTAAGGCCAGCTGGGTAATGGGATGACGTCCAGCTCTCGCCCACGGGCACTCTCCTCTGTGATCTTCCCGATCCTTCCCCTTCTACAGTCTGCATGAGAACACAGTGTGGTTCTTGTGAAATCACAGGAAAGAAGGCTCCAGCATTCCTGAACGATGCATAGAAGAGAGCCACTTCCCTGATCCCATCACCCAGCCCAAGACCAATGTGCGAGAAAGCAATACATTTCTATTATGTTCCACTGGGTTTCTGGTTGAAGCTGACTAATCCATCCCTGACTAATCACAACGCCTGCCCATTCATTGTTCCAACACTCTGAAATCCATGCAGCCAGGTATATTTATAGCCTCGGACTTATTTTAAAAACAAAACCCAAAGCGCAGCCTCTTCTAGACAATTGGAGATGTTGGCTTATGATCCAGAGTAATCCGCTTCGTGGAGACTAGGCTTTGCAGGGGACTCAAAGCCACTTGTGAGGAGAGTACAGGTACGATTAGTCCTGAAGCCGCCAGATCCATCCTCAAGACAGTGCTCCCAAGTTTCGTTTTCGGTTTTCTGTGTGCTTTGAGGACCACATTTTCTCTTAATAACTTGAATTGACAGAGGAAGAACTAGCAAACTTGTCATTGGTATAATTTGGGGGTTCTACCAATTAATATGGGGATTAAACAACATCACCCTTTTTGAATTTAAAAAAATCATCTTATTGGGGGCTCGTACAACTCTTTTTAAAATCATTTTATTGGGGGCACATACAACTCATCACAATCCATCCATTCATCCATTGTGTCAAGCACATTTGTACATTTGTTGCCATCATCATTCTCAAAACATTTGCTTTCTGCTTGAGCCCTTGGTATCAGCTCCTCATTATTTTCTCTCCCTCCCCACTCCCCCCTCCCTTATGAACCCTTGATAATTTATAAATTATTATTATTTTGTCATGTTTTACACTGTCCAACATCTCCCTTCACCCACTTTTCTGTTGTCCATCCCCCAGGGAGGAGGTTATATATAGATCATTGTGATCGGTTCCCCCTTTCCATCCCACCCTCCCGGTATCGCCACTCATACCACTGGTCCTGAAGGGATCATCACCCTGGATTCCCTGTGTTTCCAGTCCCTATATGTACCAGTGTACATCCTCTGGTCTAGCCAGATTTGTAAGGTAGAATTGGGATCATGATAGTGGAGGGGAGGAAGCATTTAGGAACTAGAGAAAAGTTGTATGTTTCATCATTGCTACCCTGTATCCTGACTGGCTCGTTTTCTCCCCACAACCCTTCCGTAAGTGGATGTCAACCAATGTACCCATTTTTAACTGAGGAATCCAGACTAAACCACACGTTTGGTTAGAGGCCACACAGATGGCACCAGTGGGACCAATGGCCATGACTCTTGCACACGAAGGGCTATACTGTGTACTGCCACAGAGACAGTACCAGAAAGCACTGAAGCTATTCAAAACCCTGCCTGAGAACAGGTAGACCTCAATTCACATCCCAGCTCCACCACTTACTGGCTTTCTGACCTTACCAGCAACTTACTTCACCTTTCTGAGCCCTGGCTTCTTCACTAGACAGTGGAAGTAATAAAACCCAGAATTCAATCATTCCTTCGTTCATTCATTCAACACTCCCTGCTTTAGGCTCGGATGTTAGAGGGGGGATATGACCTCTGACCTGGCTGTGCTAATATTTGAGTGGCTCTCAGCGCATGGTCAGGATTACATAACATTCGGAAAAGTCTAGACAGCAGCCGCTGCACATTGGGTGCTCAGTGAAGGGGGTCGGAGGGGAGTTGATATTACCGTTCTTCCAGCACTGCCTCACCTGCCTGGCTGTTCCGGATACTTCTGCTTGGTGTAGGCCTCGAGCGTGGCATACACCTTCTCTCGCAGCGTCTCGACCTCAGATGGGTTGGACAGACCCTTGGCATCTGAAAAAAAAGTCTGATTTAACCTCTGGCTGTACCCTGCAGAGCTTCCCTCCCACAGAGGCTGCCCCTGGTCACCCTCCCCCGCTTCCCCAGAGTGACCAGAGAGACACGGAATGGGGACAATTGGGAAAGAAACAAAATCAGTCCTGTGCGCCCCTCAGTTCTCTTTCTGTGCCCAACTGACCCAAAAACTCGGGGGCAAACATGTACAACGCCATTAATACTTAAGTGAACGCACCACTGGCACTGACCTTGAGAGTCTCATTCTACCCAGGACATGCTAGGAACGTCCAGGCATTTGCATGTCTGGGGTGTGCTAAATGTGGCCCGCGGGGTGAGATGGAGTACAAAAATGGGATCAGCGTGTGTCCCCTCAGCGGGCTAACTGCCTAACTCAGGAGATGAGATGCATGCATACATGACGATGTGTCTCTGGGAGGGCATTCTCCTTGACCCACAGCTGCACTGGGCCAAGCTCCCTCCTCGATATGCTCGTCTTCCCTGGGTCTCCAGGACTCTCTTCGCGCTTGCTCCTCGTTGACAGAGGCCTCTTTACAAGTTCTTTGTCTCCTTGCCCCTTCAGTGCTGGAAAGGCCCACGCTGCCGACAGTCCTCAGCCCTCTACCCTGCTCAATCTTGACTCACTCCTTAGATGGTCCTATGCAGACGCACGGCCTTACGTGCCAGGTATAGGCTGATAAGTCTCAAAGGTCTATTTCTGGTCCTGACTTCTCTCCTAATTCCAGACTCACACCCGCAATGGCTTCCTGAGCAGATCTCCTTGTTTATCAGCTCTCCACCTCAGACTGGAATGTCCCAGACAAAGCCGTCCCCTACACTCCGACACTCAGAACTTGCTACCCCCTAGAACTGTCCTCATCCTTGGAAATGAAAACTCCCTTTTCCAATTGTTTGGGGGGAAAAAACAAAACCCACAAGAGTTATACTTCACTCTTCATTTCCCATTTTCTGTCCAACCCACCAGCAAATCCCATGGACCTTATGTCAAAATACACCTAGAATCTTGACCATTTCACCACCTGGAGTACCCTGAGACCACCATTATCGCTCACCTTCCCCACCTGCCCCAAATATGGACACTCCACAGCCATTTAAAACACTTTTCAAGGTGGCTCTAGGGAACGCAGCTGATCCTTTGTCCTCTCTGGGAATAGGCTGGCTTCTCTGCCTGCCCCGAGCTAGAGGATGAGAAAACGGAGGCTGGGGAGTAACCAGTGCACAGTTACCTGGGTTAAACAGCACAATGGCTCGCAGGCACCCCAACTCCGACTTATCCATCTGCATATCCTTCATTTTGGAAACCAGTTCCGTCAGAACTCTGTTCTCAGGAAACAAGGACCATCATGAGGCCAGGAATTGATCAAATGAATTCAATCAATACTTAACATGTATGCCCCCCGTCCTCTGGGCACTACTAGGTAAGAGTGAGAGATGAAGACGACGCAGTCCCCATGGCAAGGAGCTCACAGTCTAATGAGAGACACAGACATAGAAGTTACAAGCAATAACACAAAGCTTTGGTAAATAAGTGCCATGAGCCAAATCTGGGACAACACCCAGAAAATGACAGAGAAGTGTGGCAAGGGCTGGAAAGGCATCCTGGGACGTGACATTAGTGGAGACGCACCATAGGAAGCGGCGTAAGGGCCTCACGTGGCCCGCATATTGCATGCAGCACACAGGGAATGGGGAGAGATGAGTCATTTCCATGACCGAGTTCATCTCTATGGGGTGTGCAGCAGAGTGTGGGAAGGGGCATGCACATTGATGATAAGGGTAGAGGGCGGACACGGGTCTCTGGCAGTGGGGAGAGAGACTGCTCCCCACCCTCCCCTTCTCTTTACCCAGTTCTCCATCCATTCGCCACCCCCACCCCAGCCCAAAACATTAATGTCTATTCATTTCATTCAGCCCTTTACATAAGCAGCTTATTTTGTCTTTCACAGCTTTTAAAGCACAGAATCCAAGACAGGTTGTCCCTCAGTGATCATTAATGGTTTTAGGGTATGAAGCTCTTACAGCTCTTATCACAACCCATACATATAGCCATTGTGTCAAACACATCTGTACATATGTTGTCATCATCTTTTTCAAAACATTTTCTTTCTACTTGAGCCCCTGGCATCAGCTCCTCATTTTGTCCTCCTCCCTCCCCAGGGTCCCCTTGATAATTTATAAATTACTATATTTTTGTTTTCATGTCTTATACCAACCACTGTCGCATTTTACCCACTTTTCTGCTGTCTGTTCCCCTGGGAGGGAGGCCATACATTGATCATTGTGATCGGTTCCCCCTTACTACCTCCCACCCCACCCCCTTACCCTACTAGTATCGCTGCTTCCTTTATTGGTCCTGATGGGTTTATCTGCTCTGGATTTCCTGTCTTGTGAGCTCTTATCTGTATATCTTATCTTATCTTACCAGTATACATGTTCTGGTCTAACCAGATTTGTAAGATAGAATTGGGAACATGGTAGTGGGGGGGGGGAAGCATTTAAGAACTAGAGGAAGGTTGTGTGTTTCATCAGTGCTATACTGCACCCTGACTGGCTCTTCTCTTCCTTGTGGCCCTTCTGACAGGGAGATGTCCAATTGGCGACTGATGAGCTTTGGGTCTGCACTCTGCCCTCCCCCTCATTCACATTGATATGCTTTTTGTTTGTTTGTTTTGTTTTGGGTCTTTGATGCTTGCTACCTGATCCCATCGACACCTCATGATCACACAGGCTGGTGTGCTTCTTCCATATGGGCTTTGCTGCTTCTCAGCTAGATGGCTGTCTGTTCATCTTCAAGCCTTTAAGACCCCAGATGCTATATCTTTTGATAGCCAGGCACCATCAGCTTTCTGGTGTGAAGAGTTTTACAAAGGTGTCCTTCACATGCTCTCGAGCTGTTGCTAAACTGGCTCTACATCTACTAAGGATCTCTCCCAGTGATCCTGGTCTGAGTCTAGCCCTTCTTTCTTGGCTTCCTGAAGACAAACCTGGGGCCCTCTTCCCCACTCCCAGACCCCAGGATAAGCTGCTCAGCTCTTTAATTTATTAGAGGATATACTATGCCCCAGTCTCTTCTATGAAAAATCCATAGGGATCACAGGTTCTACCATCTTCTCAGAAACTATGCTGCCTCCTGACTGACTCTATCTCTTTGCAATTGCAACCTTTCTTTTCATCGATTTCTTATTTCTTTGGCTCCTAGTCTCATCTGTTTAAAGGCGCTGCTTCTAGTTATGTGCAAATTGTTTGGGCTGTCAACCCCAGGTCTCAGCATGCATGTGTACATATGCGCGCGCACCCCCCCCCCCACACACACACATACACACACACCCTAGAGGCAGAGAGGAGGCACCTGTCAAAGATGGAGCCGACCCCAGCACTGTGAGCGCTGCTCCGGTGGACGTGTAAGCCCGTGGCTAGAAGGATTCCGTCCTGCACAGAGACGGAGCGGTGGGAGAAGGAGGCAATCAGCAGCTCGTTCCACCCTGCAAGGAACAGAAGGAGCCTTGAGGAGAAACCAGCCCATACAGAGTGCTATCCCCACATCGTAAGGGAAGTCCCTAGGGGGTGCAAACAGGTACCACACTGGTTGCTGAAAAAAAGGTGGGAGGTTCAAGTCTACCCCGGAAGTTCCTTGGAAGAAAAGCCCAGTGAACTACTTCCAAATAAAGCAACCATAAAAACCTTAGGAAGCACTGTTCAACTTTGACTGGACACCATGAAGTTGAAGGAACTTGAGAAAAGCGAAAAAAGAAAGAATTGGAAATCAAAGGAAATTAAAAATAAGTTCAAAATGATGTACCTACATAATGAAGAATCCAAGAAGAAAACTCCTAGCTTGTAGTCAGCACACACACACACACACACACACACACACACACCACCCCCTGAGTCTCTCTAATGCAATCTAGAATGGCACCTTGCAGACAAGAACTCTCCACCACCTCCCACCGGTCAACAAGGATCCTTGGTGGTGTGGTGGGTTACCTGCTGGGCTCAACGACATAGTCAGCAGTTCAAATCCACCGGCCACTCTTTGGAAGACTGATGAGCCTTTCTGCTCCCATAAAGATTTACAGGCTCAGAAACCCAAAGCGGCAGTTCTACTCTGTCAGATAAATTCACTAGGAGGCAGAACGGACTCCATGGCGGTGTGTTTTGAGAGTCACTCAACAAATCTAGATTGAACACTTCACAGGCGATCGTCACAGTGGAAGCTGGTGTGCCAATCTACTTGCAGTCTCTGGCCCCAGAACCCGACAATCGAGCTTTATTTATTTGGCGTCATTTGGTAGCTCTTAGCAGAGCCTGTAGCTTTCGGTGGATACTCAGCCATTGCTCATTATCTAACTGGTTCCCACGCTTAGCCAATCTTCATGAGATTTCCCTGCTGGCTCAGTGACAAAGAGGAGACGTGGCGCATGTCAACGGGCTGCACAGTGTCTGAGAAACAGGAGATGAGAGAAGATAGTACTAGGGTCTTAAAACAGGAAAGGACCTTGGAATGTATCAAGTACAAGTGTGAACAACAGTCTCTGGCTTCCCCGACCTCGTCTGTGAGTTGGGAATATAGCTAATGCCAACGTCAGAACAGTTATGGGAAGAATTACTGCCGCAGATTAGTTCCAATAAAAATGATTTAGCAATCGTTAAAAATTAACATTTGTATTTGTGAGGGAAAGGAGCCCTGCTTCTCCACTAACAGACCATATTTCATTGGGGAATGAAAGGTTCTTGGGAGGACGATGCGAATTTAAGAGCCTGTAAAACACACGCAGGCACCACCTCAAGGCTAGCCTGGGTTCCGTTCCAGAGCACCCAACGGACGGAGGGTTGCAATCAAGCGAGTCACAAGAATTGCTGCTTTTCTAGTGCATGTGAACGTTAGGTTTACCCTAGGCTACAAGGCTACTAAGTGTGCACTGTCGCGAGAATGGCCAAAATGTGACACAGAGATGTGAAGCGACCACATGCTGTCGGAAAAATGGCACCGATCGGCTTGCTCAAAGCACAGTTACCAGGATCCAATCTGTAAAAAGCGCGGTATCTGCAGAGCGTAATCACGTGGTGCATAATAAGATGAGGTGAACCGGAAAACAAGAACATCCCCTGGCCGGCTCTCCAGTCATCACCATGGTACATAGCTTGGGTGGTTTCTGGCTTACCCGATTGCTAGTTCTTAGGATCTCAAGTGTAACTTCAAATAGGGACCCAAGCGGTGGTGCCAAGAATCAAGGAACTCCCAAACGCATTACCTGCCCGGAGCAGAATGACCTGGTCCTCCAGCGTGAGGTCTGAGAAGTGGGGGATGCGCTTGGCCCATTCAACAAGGGTGAAAAGCTGCTTATCAGCCGCGTGACATATGTTGGTGACAGGGTCATTTGTCTGGGAAAGGAAGAAAGTGCTCTGAGGGACAGGACTCGGGACTCTAAAACCAGACCGCCCGCCCCCATCTCTAATCGCATCCCAGACATGAAAAGTGGTGGACGTCTAAGACCACATACCGAGTTCTCCACGCTCATGTCACCGTAGGATTCTGTCTTTGGCTCAACAGCAAGTTCGGCTTCTAGAATCCTCTCCACAGGCATGTCTTCGTGGCCGCTATGGGCAGCCTCTGCCTCACTCTCTGCTCGCTCCCGGCTCCTCTGCCTTTCTTCTTGCACCGCTGGCACGTAGCAAGACAGAGAGGGGTTACCATGACAACCGCGGAGCGTTCGTGACCTGCCCAAGCCTCACCTCCCGTCTGTAAAATGGGGATCACCACTGGACTGAATCAGGGATGGTGCAAGGGTGCAAAACTATAAAAAAGGCAGAACTAAGGGTTCTCTCATCCATAGTAGTTCCAGTTCATTCTGGGGACCACTCTAAGATATTTGCATTTTATGCTTGAATAGCATCCACTCTTGCTCTCATCTTCCCTATGTCCTAACAAGCCAGCTTCTCCTTCCTACCCTTACAAGCTCCCACACCCTTCCTCTGCCTGCCGCCACTAATAAACTGTGAGCGTGCAATGGTTAAATAGCAAGTGCATTGCTGTAAAAACTCCCTGCCGGGTCCTGTGCATCATTCAGGGCATTCACATCCCACTAGGTCTGCCCTTAGTACACCAGACTGAACACGGCATCACCTGATCGGACTTGTCAGGGAAACTCTTTGGGGAGTCAGCTTTGGGCAAATGGGGAAGGGAAGGGGTGGAGGGATGTGACCTAGATTCCATTTCAGAATCCAGGGCTGATTCCAGTGGGAGGAGGGGGGCGGGTATAGAGGCAAAGGTGTAGGTTGAAATTATTTTAGTCTTTCAAAATTCAGTGCTCTCATCAAAGCATTCTCCAAATCTCAGGACTCTCTGGATTTATGCACTAGGCAGCCCAAACCAAACCCATTGGCCAGTAAGTTGATTCTGGCTCATAGCAACTCCATGAAAGAGAGTCGAAGTACTTCTGTGGGTTTCCAAAACGGAAAACCTTTATATATATGTATTACTAAGAAGTTCCATTTTATTTATTTATTTTATATACTTATTATAATCTCTTCACCTCTATTATTTTCCCCAACAGTTTAATTGGCATCTAACACATATCATACAATTAATTCAATAGTTCTATTACACCAAGAAGAGTCATACAATCATCACCACAGTTTTAAACATTGTCTTCATTCATTACTATCTCCCCATTTCCCCCAAGGAACCATTAATCCATGTACTATCTCTATAGATTTACCTATCTTGGATTTTATATACAGGAAAACATTAAAAAACAAAAACAAGAAAACAGAAACCACGACAGCAAAGTAAAACAGAGAAAACCTCAGTAGGAAAGAAAGCTGAAAATATGAAAAACTAGGCAAATGTAAACAGATCATAAGGAGGAACAAATGAGAGGATGTTAAATTTTAATCTAACTGCATCAGCAACAATCCACTTTCCCATGCATTCTGCATCCTAGCAAGGCTGTTCCCATGCCTGGATCGTGGTCAGAAGGGAATCACCAGACATTGCCATCTTTTTCCTGCAAAGTGCCAGGCTGGCGTGTTCAAAGGGCTGAACTTCTGGTTAGTGGCCTGACTCATAATCCACTGCACCACCACGCCTCCTGACAACATACAGAGACGATTACATCTATTTGTATTATCAGTTGAAATTAGTACCTTATGTTGAATACTTCTTATGTTCCTTTTTAAAGAAGATATATAATCTTAAAAGATGGAGGAAAGCAAAGTAAATGAAGTTCCTTTGTTTGCGGGTCCTCTATTGATGTCATCTGCATATTTGTAACACTCAAAGAAAACAACCTTCAAGCCTTAGGTCAGAAATCAGAATCCGATTCTGATGTTGCCATTACGTGAGAGACCCTTTGCTGGAAAAATGCCTTCTTTGTACGTAGACCTCTCTGCCCTAGGTGATATGTACAGATATGTACACACGTTACTGGAGGATAGCTTCTGTGTGGCAGAGACACTCTGGATTCTCCCCCTCTGCGCATCGGGGCACATGCAGGCCATATAGAGGGGTTGAAAATAGTACCAAACTCTTGCTTTACTATCTGAATTTATCAGCTCACTCACTAGATATGTACTGTGCACTTACTACAACTGTCAAAAAACACTCTCAGAAATTATGCTCATGATGTGATACAGATTATATTTCACTTAAGACTCACAATAACTCTTTTGGTTAGGTACCATGAGCCACAGAAAAGTTAAGTATTCTGTAAGGACACACAGCAAATCACAACGGAGCCAGTATCTGGACCCCAGCTGGCTCCTGCCCAGGCTTACTTCTAACCTCTCCTCACTGCTTCTAAGACGCTAGACTAGTGATATTCATAAAGACCATGTATTAGTCTGGGTACTTTGGAGAAACAAATCCACAGCAACTCGTGTATAAGAGAGAGTTTTATGCAAAGAAAATGTGCATCATGAAAACATCCCAACCCAATGCTGCCCAAGCCCACAAGTCCAACATTAACCCATTAATCCAACACCAGTCCACAAAGTCCTCCACCTCACAAAACAGAGGCAATGATGCCGACTGCAGGAGGAAAGCTGAGTCAGTAAACGAATAAGCATCTCAGTACTAGCGGGGGGGTCTCCACACAGCTGCTCCAGCACCCAGGGCTGCATCGGGATAGGTCCATGCGGCTTCTTCTTGGGGATGTCTTGTAGGACGTCAATCTTGCAAGCTGAAGCAGGGAGCTGCTAAGGCAGCTGCATCCTGGTGCGACCATCACAAAGCAAGAGACCCGAGAACTAGAAAGGCGAGGCTTGACCACCCATTTATCCCTCCGCCTTTCAACCAGCCCCACCTGTGATTATCGGCCAGGCTGGCACAATTAACTACTCAGACTACATAGGGTTCAAGGCTGCCAATGGATTCACACAAATTTCCTCAAAGAGAAAACATTTCCTAACCTTGAAAATAAACACCCATAACCAGACATCCTGGGAACAGACTTCCTCATACTCTCCCAAGTTGCTTGGTAGCAGGAGAAACAGAGGCCCCCACTAAGCTTGTTGTGTGTAGGCCTTTTTGAGCCTCTTTTTCATTATTAGGAAATGAGTGTATTATATTGGAGACTAGCAAATTTCTCTTCCAGCTATGGCATTTTGTAAACTAAAAGGACAAAAAGCCCTAACCCTGGACCCCAAGCAGGTGAATTCTGACCTACCTAATTTCATCTGTTTTGATTTATGCAAATCATTGTTGTTGTTGTTGTTAGGTGCGGTCAAGTAGGTTTCAACTCATAGTGTGGCCCCATGCCCAAAAGAACGAAGCACCACCCAGCCCTGTGCCACCCCACAGTGTCCTTATGCCTGAGCCCACGGATGTGCTGCCGCGTCCATCTGTCTCGTCAAGGGCCTTCCTCTTTCCCCTGCTCCTCCATTTATCAAGCAGGAGGTCCTTCTCCAGGGGCTGGTCCCTCATTCCACCATTCCCACAGGTGTGAGACAAAGTCTTGCCCCCCCTTGCCTCTAAGGTGCATTCTGGTTGCACTTCTTCCAAGACAGATCTGTTTGTTCTTTCGGCAGTCCAGGGTACTTTCAGTATCCTTTGCCAGCACCACGGTTCAAATACATTGATTTTCCTTCAGTCCCTCTTACTCAATGTTCAACTTCCACGTGACTAGGAGACTAGTGACAATGCCAGGACTTGGGTCAGGTACTCCTTAGTCCTCAAAGTAACATCCTTGCTTTAAAGAGGTCTTACACAGCGGATTACCTCAATGCAGGGCGTCATTGGCTCTCTTGACTACTGCTTCCAGGAGCGCTGATCGTGGATCTGAGTAAGGTGAAAGCCTTGACAGCTCTATAGGAGCACACATTCCACCGTCTATCTTAGTTATCCTTCCCAAGATTTTATCATTGTTGTCCTACACAACGTCTCTAACCTGAGCCTCTAAATTCTATAAATCAAGGCAAGAAAAGCTTGTCCCGTAGCCTCTTGGAAGTGACCCTTCGTGGAGTGAAATGAGGAACTGGCTCACGTTTTCACTCTCTCTTTGCCCAGGTAAATAGTACCAACTCATTGAGAAATTCTTCTAAGACCCCCTTTCCGCCTCCTCTTTCTATTACTCAGTTTTTCACCACTCCTGTTTCTCCATGGCCTGTAAAAAAAATACAGAAGTCAAAATGACCCAATTTCCTGCTCCAGAATTGTGAGAATTCCAACAGGCTTAAAAGAAGGATTCCCGACTCTACAATCGTCATGGCCCTTATTATTTTTCTTATTATTGTTTTCATTTTAATTAAACACCCTTCCAGCCATTTGGCTTGTAGGCCACTCTGACCCTAATCGAGCTGGGGGGTGGTTATTCAGGTTGAGTTTGGGGAGATGGATTTAGACTAACTTTAAAGAAGTAGAAGTGACACTTCTCCAATGGAGCTCATTCATTTTCAATCTCATGTGCTTTGGGAAAACGGTCATTTTTTCTCAAGTCAACCTGAAACATATCCATCCTGGGGGCAAATAACTGCCTTAGCTATCATGTTCTTGTTGATGGAAGATTGCTTTGTGGTCACTAATATATAATATGTATGTGTGTGTCTATAGGTATACACTACCACAGGGGTGAGGCTCAACAAAGAATTATAGTTCTAGCCTCATGGGAAGAAGGTCATGTTCACTAGCTGGATTTTCAGAACCTATATTGCCATCTGTGAGCTCACTGGCCCTCTCACAGTGCCTGGGACACAGGCTCAAAGTAGGCATTCAACTAGTACTCCTCCGTGGATGAAGGATTGAGTGAGTCATTTTAGGATCATCTGCATTGCTAAAGCTCCTGGGTCTAGCAGACCACATTTAGTTTAAACCATCAGAACAAAAAATCTTACCATAGTGAATGATGGGGGGAGTGCGGAGTGGAGACCCAAAGCCCATTAGTAGGCCACTGGAGATCCCCTTGCAGAGGGATTTCGGGGAGGAGATGAGCCAGTCAGGGTGCGATGTAACAATGATGAAAAATACAACTTTCCTCTGGTTCCTAAATGTTTCCACCCCGCTCCCACTACCATGACTCGAATTCGACCTTGCAAGTCTGGCTAGACCAGAGGATGTACACTGGTACAGATAGGAACTGAAAATACAGGGAATTCAGGGTGGATGAGCCCTACAGGACCAGTGGTGTGAGTGGCGAAACAGGGAGGGTAGAGGGAGAGTGGGTAGGA